AAAAAATGAGGAGGAATTAGAAGCAATTTGGAGCCAAATCTGTGCCTTATCGGAAGAGTATAAGAAGTAGAAAGAGGAAGTAGAGTCACCTAAAAAGACTGGTGAGGGGAGAGGAGGAAACTCCAGCTAGGAGAGGACAGCCCTGCCCACAAACCCTCAAGTTGGGAAAGAACAGACTGGTGTAGGAGAAAAAGAGGCTAATTTCTGATATTGAGGGATACATTGAGTTCAGTGGCAGAGGGGAGAGGGAGGAAGGTTCCTTATTAAGGAAGCCTCGGGTTTAAAGAGGGGTCTATTGTCAGTAGACCTGTTCATGGGCCGGGTAGCCCGGCAGGCCAGCTCGGCCTGGCCCGATCTAATTCAGGCTTGGACAAGATATCAGGCCCGTGGGCTCGGGCTTTCTCAAAAAAGCCCAGCCCAAGCCCGACTTGATAATGTATTTATATAATATATTTTCTTTATTATTCTTATCTTTTTCAAGTAATAGTGAGATTTTTCATTATTTTTTAGGTTTTGAGGTCTTTTAATATAAATAAAATAGTTTTTTATTGAATAAAAAGGAAAAAAATCTTTTTCCAATTTTTTGCTCGGGCTCGGGCCCGGGCTTCGAGCTTTAGATAAGGGTCAAGCTAGGCTCGGGTTGAGGCCTGGGTATATTCTATTAATACAGAGACAAAACCTAGCCCAAACCCAACCCAGCCCAGCCCGGCCCATGTACAGGTATAATTGTCAGTGTGTGGTTGAACAAGGATTATTAGTTGGAATGTGAGATGATTAGAGAGTGCAAGGAAAATAAGGGTGAATAAGGACCTCCTGAGCCCGGCCCAGCCCATGAACAGATCTAATTGTTAGTTTGTGGTTGAATGAAGATTATTAGTTGGAATGTGAGAGGATTAGGGAGTGCAAGGAAAATAAGGGTGAATAAGGACCTCCCGAGGACGGAGAGATCTGACCTAGTGTTGTTGTAGGAAACTAAGTTAGTAGAGTTAGACAAGAGATGGGTAAGAAGTGTGTGGAAATCTAGAGTGAATTGAACCTTGACTCCTTCTTGGGGAGCTTCTGAAGGTTTAACCACTATGTGGAGAGAGGATGTGGTGGAATCAGTAGAGGAACTCAGCGAGGTTTTCTGTGTCTTTGAAATTTCAAAATTTGGATGATGGTATGTGGGTCTTAACTAATGTGTACAGGCCAAATAATTGTAAAGAGAAAAATGAATTGTGGGAGGAATTGTATGGACTCAATGGATTATGGGATGGCCTTTGGTGTCTAGGGGAGATCTCAATGTTATCAGATTTTGCAATGAGTCCAATAACCCTCGAGGTGTGGTCACAACAAGAATGAAAAAATTCAATGATTTCATTAATACTTGCGGGTTAAAAGAGATTTCCCTACCCTACTGCAAGCCAACTACACTTGGTCCAACTTTTAGGAAAACTCGCTTTGCTCTAAACTAGACAGATTTCTTTGCAATGAAGGGTGGGAAAATCATTGGACAGATTTGATAGCTAGGGTTCTACCTATAATAACCTTTGATTATTGCCCTATCATGTTAGACTCGGAAATCTTAGGATCTGGACCTCACACTTATAGATTTGAAAACATGTGGTCAAATCACCCTAACTTTGTGCAGAGTGTTGAGGAGTGGTGGAATGAAGACTTAAGAGGGGTTAAGTGGTAGGGAGTTAAATTTCATAAAAAGCTAAAAAGACTAAGATCCAAGATAAAAGAGTGGAATAAGGATCACTTTGGAAGACAAGAGGAACAAAAGGCTTCATTTCTATCCACAATTGAGGAGCTTGATCATAAAAAATGCCAAGGGACTTTGGACAAACAAGGAAGAGGGATAAGAAGAAAACTCAAGATGGATTTGGAAGAAATTCTTTCGAAAGAAGAGAGATCTCCTAGAAGCAAAAGTTTAGACATAAATGGATAAAGGAAGGGGATGGAAATACTAGGTACTTGCATGCCTCAACTAATGGAAGGAAGAGGAAGAACTTTGTGGCAAAATTGGAATTTGATGGTGAAAGAGGTAACAAATCAAGAAGAAATAGCAGGGAGATTTGTGGATCATTTTAAGTCTTTGTTGAGAAAGCCTTTGAATAATAGGTGTAGGGTGGAAAGAGTCGATCAGCCAAGGTTATGTGAGGAAAATGTAAGTTGGTTGGAGAGGGATTTTGAGGAAGAGGAGATAAGACAAGCAGTGTTCCTAATGGATAGATCAAAAGCCCCTAGCCTGGATGGTTTTACATGGATTTTTATCATGACTATTGGGTTGTGGTGAAGGGAGATTTACTTGGGGTCATTAGGGAGTTTGCAGATAGACATTTAGTGAGACCGGGAGCCAATGCCACCTTCCTAGCCCTACTTCCTGAAAAGATAGATGTGAGACACCCTAAGGATTTAAAGCCAATTAGCCTACTGGCGAGTATCTTGGCTAAGGTTTTGTCTTTGAGGCTTAAAGCAATACTGCCAATTTAATAAGCCAAGCTCAAGGGGCCTTTGTGCAAGGGAGACAAATATATGATCAAATACTAATAGTCAATGAATGTGTGGAGGAAATGAACAGATCAGGCCAGCAAGGTGTTGTTTGTAAATTGGATTTAGATAAGGCTTATGACTTAGTGGATTGGAGCTTCCTGCTTGAGGCCCTAAGGAACTGTGGTCTTGGTGATAAGTAGTGTAATTGGATGAAGGGTTGTATCAGTTCTTCTCACCTTTCAATTCTGTTAAACGTTGTGGTTGAGGATTTCTTTCCAACTTCTAGAGGATTAAGGCAGGGCGATCCCCTTTTCCCCTTTCTCTTTACCCTAATAGCAAATGTTTTCAGTAGGCTACTCTTAAAGGTTGATAGGGAGAGGCAATTGGAGGCTAGGGGATAGGAAGAAATAGAGTCCCAGTGACCCATCATCAATTTGCTGATAATATTAATATTTTTAGTGAGGGCTACCTAAGAAAAGTAAGGAATCTTAAAGTTTTGATAAGTTATCTTGAAAGGGTCTCTAACTTGAAAATAAACCTAGACAAGAATTATGTGGTAGGGATAAACTTGGATGAAGGTGTTATTAAGTCGGTGGCAAAGTGCTTAAGTTGTTATGTCACTTCTTGGCCCATGTCTTCTCTTCAGCTTCCTCTAGGGGATAACCCGAAAGAAAGTTGTTTTTGAACTCCAATCCTAGAAAAATTTTGAAAGAGCCTAGCGGCTTGGAAAAAGAGCTAGATCTCTCTAGGAGGTAAAGTAACTTTGCGTAAAGCACTCTAGCTAACTTGTCAGTATATTGTTGTCTTTAAGATATCCAAGGAGGCGAAAAAATTGGAGAAATTAATGAGGGGTTTCCTTTGGGAGCCTAGGAAAGAGAAAAATGACCATTTAATAAGGTGGGAGATTATATGCAAGAGTAAATAAGAAGGTGGGTTGGGGATAGGGAACTTGGTTCTAAAAAATGTAACTGTGTTTAGATAAGTGGTTGTGAAGATGGCCCTTAGAAAGAGAGAGGTTGTGGCATGAGGTGATAGCTAGTATTCAAAGCTGTTTGGAGAATGGTTGGGATGTTGGTGTTTCTCGTCGGGCTACTTTGACTACTACTTGAAAAGCAATTAATAGTATCAGTCCCCATTTTCATAACTTTGTCAAGTATGATGCTTGTTTAGGGTTCTGTTATTGATCAAAAAAAATGATGCTTGTTTAGGGAACTTGTTTTCTTTTGGGTGGGTAATTCAGCTCTCAAGGACCTTTTCCCTTCACTATACTCCATCTCCTTGTTTAAGCATTAGGTTGTCTCCCACTTTCTTCCTTCCCCCTTTTCATGTCCTAGAAGTGTCTATTTGGATCCTCTAAAGCTAGACAAGAGGATTTGGTCTCCCCACCCCAAAGGTTTATTTACTTGTGCTTCCTCCTTTAAGGTCCTTTGTTCTTCCTCTATTCAAGTTGTCTTTCCAGTTAAAAAGTTTTGGACTAGGCCTATTCCCCCTAAAATTACTTTGGTCTACTGGAAATGTTTCATGGAAAGATCAATACTTTAGACTGTTTGCAGAAGAAAAACCCTCGTATGTGCTTATTCCCTAACTGGTGTGTTCTTTACAAAGCTAAATAGTGAGGATTGCTTCCACTTACTAATTTCCTGCTCCTTTGTTATAGCTATTTGGGATTGGATTTTTGCCTTGTTTAGATGCAAGTGGAACCAACCTTCAGATGTAAGTCTACTTTTTGACCTGCTAGCCTTTGTATGGCCCACAAAAAGAGAGAGGATTATGTGGAAATGTATAGTTGCTTCACTTTGGACAATTTGGGAAGAAAGAAATGCAAGAATCTTTCAAGAAAAGGAACGAAGTCTCCTACTTGTCAAGGAGTGTATCCTAACAAGGGCAATTAACTGGCTGAGTAATTTTGGATTCTTCCCACTATGTTTCCTTTGATGACTTTTGGAGGAATTGATCAGAGTGGCAACTAGCTCCTCCAGAAAAGAAAAGGTCACTGTAGATTGTACTCCACCACCTGAAGATTGGATTGAACTGAATTTTGATTAAAGTAGTCAAGGAAACCCTGGCCCCTCAGGCATAGGAGGGTTTTGAGAGATAAGGATAGCAACATCTTAGCCTTATACTTTGGTCCAGTGGGAATAGGAGACTCAATCAGGGTTGAGTAATTTAGTGCTACAAGGATTTCCTAAAGAAGGCAAGCTGGTTAACAAGTAACATGATTGTTAGCTCACATTAGGTGAGCAGGTCAGCAAATGCTATGGTTGATTGTCTTGCCAAACAAGAAGTTTTGGGGGAACATCTGTATTGGGCAACCTTGTAATGCTTTGATTATAGTGTATTGTGGGTTTCGTACACTTTCTTATATTTTCAAGAGACGTCGCATCTCGTACTTCTCTTTGGGGTGCTTGTAACTTCCTTATATTTTTGTAACAAAATAACTTTTCAATTATCAAAGACAATGCATCAATAATAAAATAATAACAATAAACTAACTGTAGTTGTTGTTACTAACAATCACCAACCTCACTAGCAATGCCATACTTGGCACAGTCAATGGCAAGACGGGTTGCACGCCCAATACTTTCTTTTGTCCTTGACAATGTCTCAATCATTCCTTCAAAAGCATCACGTGCAACAGCTGCTTCTGTGCCACCACTCAAAGACCCCCCAGGTGCACGGTGTCCAGAGCTAACTCTTACATTGTCATATTCTTCAGAATCAAGTTGATGTTGTGACGCAACTGGACGAGAATGAGCAGAAGGAGAAGGTAAAGATGTGCGAGAATATAATCCCCTTGCATCCTGTTGCACAATATGGCTAGTACCAGACATAAAAGGCTGAACTGCAGCAGGGCTAGGACTCCTACCATGAGTAATAGAAGTAGTGGAAATAAAAGGTGGGATAAGACTTTCATGAGAAAGAGACAGCGGTTGAGCTTGTCTTCTTTTTGCCTGAGCAGCTGCTATAAGATGCTTCATAGACGTAAAAGATTCAGAAAACTTGGAATCTATCAATGAACTAACAGACTTGTCACCAGCAACTTCCAATCTGCAGCTAACAGAACAATAATGCAATTAAGTAGATGAGAATATACAGAAAAAAATAAAATGGATTATCACATGAACAGTAGAAAATGCCATACGTACTGCTCTTTAGGCAGAGAACCATTATCCAAAGATTGCTCTGCTGAAACAGCAGAGTCATTCATCTGTAAATTAGTTTTCAAAGTAGCTTTTGACTTCTCTGATGCAACTGTTAACTTGTTCTTTTGGCTTGTCATTTGATTCGAAAGACGATTTAAAGCATCAGAAGCTGAAATAGAGGCTTTAGAAGACCCAGACTGAACCCTTCGACCTGTAGAGGAGCATGCTTTACCCTGGGGCTTGGTGGCTTTTTGTTCTTCTTGCTTAGCTGCTGTAGCTAGACCAGGGGAGTCTTTGGGTGAAACCAAGATCAGCTTGCCCTCCCTCGAGTGGAATTTTTGGGAATCTAGTTTCTGGGGACTACAATATTCATCAGCAGCCATTGCCTTATCCAGGTGGGGTAATGAAGGTTCAGTTGGAAGTTTGCTGTATGATTCACCAACCTTAGAAAGGCCATCCTCAACTTGGGATGAATCAAAATCAATTTTAGAATCTCCCAAATTATTTGCTTGAGAATTATTGAAACTTGCATTACGTGTCTCAATGTCATCAATAGAATCTGGCACACATGAAGGTCCATTCAAATTATTGGTGAATTCACCTTGAAGTGGGCTTTTTATTTCTTCTTCCTCCTTATCATCAAATTGGCAAACTGATCTCCATTTCGAGTGAACCTGGATAACAGGAGAACTATCATAATCAGAACTAGACATATCATTCTTAAGGGGATCAGGTCGTTTATCTGATATGTCTCCAGCAGTTTCAGTAGCACAGTCAGACATTGCCTCCAATGCCCGACGGCGGCGCTTTGTTGGGGGTAGAATATCTTCATCACCAGGTAAAGTTATCTGAACACTGAATGTTTCAGAACTTAATGGAAGATGATTTTCTTCCTTGAGAAATGATGTAAATGTTTTGGTCTCCCCATGTTTATCTCCCGTGTCACCAACAACAGCAGAACCTGGAGATTCACTCCTTTTGAAAAGTGATTTCTTAGTTGTGCTACCACTAACATCTACATGCTTTATTCTTTTGGTAGGATCAGAATCTTCACCAGGAGGCAACTTATGCCTACTATGACCAAGATGGCTCCTCTTTTTCCTATGGTCTCCCAATGACAAGAGTTCATCCTTGCCCTGCCCCTCAGAACCATTCAAGGTACCCTTGCAACTGTCGTGAAGTCCAAGTGGCTTATCCCCTCCCATGAGATGTTTATTAACTCTTGGCAATCCTTTGGCTTTCTTTTTATTGCTGATATCAGAATCTGACTTGAAAGTATCCGGAGATGATTCCTTTTTGTTGTCACATGGAGAACTTTTGCTTTGAACTCCATCTTTCAAATGTTCTCCAGATTCAGGGAGATCAAGATGACTATCAGGATTATCACGCTTCAATGATTTTAGAGCTGGATTCATCCTTTTGCGCACATCCACTGCACCATCTCGTCTTCGTTTTAATACAGAAACGACTTTTTTTGCCTTCTGTCCACCAGTGGACTGTTTGGCAGAAACTGAACCATCTAAACATGGCAAACCATCATTATCATCAACCAGGCAACTAAGGGAGTCTCCTTGGTTGAGGAGATGACTGCTTCTACTAGAACTTGAACCTTTCGAATGAGTCTCTACCTTACCAGATTCTTCTTTAAGTGGGTAAGGATTATCTGGCTTAGATGTTGGCGGTGCCTCTTTCTTTGGAATGTGTGCACCATTGGATGTTTTGTCCCTTCTCTTAATAGATAAAACTGGAGATAAGCTAGGTTCTTTGTTACATGAAATGCTAGGTTTTATATCCTTCTTCTCAGTCTCGTCCCCTCTATGTGAGCACTGTTCCAATCCATATTGATCATCAGCTGAAGCCTCACCACCAGAGATTTGATTATGAATGTCCGTCTGAATCTGATCATTTAATTCAGCCACTCCACCATCAATAGAGGAAGCAACAGAGTCAAGGGCAGTCTTATCAGTATCTGCACCAGAACCACCTGCTTTCTTTTGCTGTAATTCTTCAAAAGCTTCACAGATCTCCTTCACAGCACGGGCAAAATCTTTAACAGTCTTGCCTTGACATCGAGCTGACAACTTACTCTTTGCTTCATTAGTAAATGCCTGAATATCAGCAGGAGCAACAAATGCACTGCACAGGAAAAGAAAAAGAAGAAGAAAATTAGAAATCTAGATCAGAGTAAGTTGCACTTGTTCAACAAGAAAATGTAACACAAAAATTTTGTACATACAGTATCTGCATTACTTTGTTCTTAATCTGTTTTAACATCTCCAATCAAAAAATCTAGGATGCCCCAAAATCCATCCTTCAATTTACTTAGGCTATGGCATAGTTGTCAAGGCCACACCTAGGCGACCTGGTGCTTTTTGGTGCTCACCTCGCCCAATCACCAACCTATTACATATGAAGATTTACAATATCTTTATCAAAGAAGAAGAAGACCTCTTCATTTTAAGTTTTCTATTTTTTTCTTATTCTCCTTCGTTTTTTTTTTTTTGGGAACAATAACAGGGGCTCCGCCCTTCTCCATTTTATGTTTGTATTTCTTTTCTTTTCCTTCATTTTTTGGAACAAAAACAGGAGCTCTGCACCTTCTTCTTCTTCTTCATTTTAAGGTATAATTCCTTTCCTTTTTCCAAGACAAGAACTGGACTCCAGCTCTTCTTTAGGCTGTGTTTGTTTGCGGTGTAAATACGGACCAGTGCAATTAAACACTCCTATCCACATTTGTCAGCATTTGGATAGAGTGTAGTTAATATAAACATCGACAATCGATGTAAAACTCCACTCACGTTGATTTTTACATCGACAATCGATGTAAAACTCCACTCACGTTGATTTTTACATCGACAATCGATATAAATACAACTTAGATAAAAATTACGTAAATATTTAAATCGATAATCACACCTTCCAGTTTACAACGGTCCAGAACTTTAAACCGATCCGTGTACAACTCCATCGGTGTACTTCTGTTTTTACATCACATTCAAACACAGCCTTTAGGTTTTTTCTTTTTTTCTATTTTCAGAGACAAAACAAGGGCTTCACCCCTTCTTCTCCTTCATCATTTTGAGGGTCTTTCTTTCATTTTTTTCCAAGATAAGAACAGGGATTCTGCCCCTTCTCCTTGTTTTTAGACTTCTTATTCTACCACAACTCCCCCTGTCACCTAGGTTCGCCTTGGCACCTTGAAAACTATGGGCCATGGTTGGTTAAAATTTTGTTCCAAAGAATCACTATTTGAAGAACCAATTTTGAACTAAAAACTATTAATCTCTGCAGCTAATTGTTACCACCAAAGAATCAGTATTGAGAATGATTTTTTATCACCCCCCCCCCCAAAAAAAAGAATGAGATCAAACAACCTTCATACATCAAAACTTAAAAATATTCTTAGAATCACAAAATTCATCAGAATTGATTCTTTGAAAGCATGCCAAACACAGGTAACAGCCTTAGTGTCTCAGAAAAGTCATTAATCACTTCTCCAAACTACTTAAAGAATCTGGTTTAAAAACAATCCAAAAATAAAAAACATTAAGAGCCACAATCTTGCACACAAGCCACTAGATAACAATGCTACAAACCTAGAAACAATTTAATGAGGGATTGTTCTAACAAGTATCAATTGCACAGGTTGAAGAGGTATCCCCTTAAGAAAACTGTTGCCACATTAGAGTCATACTTCTGTTAGGTTGTTACTTAATCACAAAATAGTTCCAGATACGAGTAATAGAGCCACATAAGTTAAAAACGTGTAACCTATAAGCATCAGGGGGCAAACACCAACCCTAACACCTTTTTTCGAAAGGTAAAGCATTCTAGTATATTTAAACCATATCCATATGTATGTCAAAAGGTTATGTGAGAACCCCTGTACCTATACATTAAGGTATTGTACATGGGGACATACATGTGCAAGCAACCTATATGTCAAACCCTTTTTTTTATGAATAATAGTAAGTTTATTGATTCAGAAGCAAATTAGAGTGAGTTCATACATCATCCCAGTGAGAGGCGCGAGCTGCAGCCCCTCCTTGAAACTTACAAGTAAACTAGAAAAAAAAAAAAACAAGAATCACAACTGAGCCCAAAATAATTCTTCCCTATTTACCCCTTGCTTAGCTAACACATCTG